GAGTCTAATTAGCCCCATTAGAATTGAAGCAATATGTGGGTTTCCACTTCCCTCATATTCCTTTTCTACCCAACAAGGTGTATATGTTCAGTGGAATCCTGTAGATGCGGTTTTGAATGCATTGGAAGTGAGGACATTGACTAACGCTTGATGGATCCCAGCTTTCAGTGGTATACAGGAGGATTGCTGGGTTGTGTTAACAGTAAGGGAAATGTCAGTGTGTGCAATGGGATGTGAAAAAGTAAGCGAACCCCAAGTTTCATAAACACAATTAAGAGAATAATTAGAATCAGGTGCTTAAATACTTAAGTAGATCACAGGGTCTGAGTTTGGAAGGACATATCCTATAAACATATTAGAAACATTGTGAATTTGATCTTTACTGAGGTAAAAGGAAACAAGTCACGCTGTAATCTAAGGAAATTTCTGAAGAACTCAGAAAAAGAGTTATTGATGTTCATAGGTCTGAAAAGGGTTATAAAACATTTCATAGCATCTGTGGCTCCACCAACCCACTATCAGACAGATAAAAAGTTCAAGACCACAGTCACTGTACACAGGAGTGGTTGTCCTTCCAAAATCACTCCAAGAACAATCCTAAAAATCCTCAAGGAAGTTACAAAGAACCACAGGGCAACATCCAAGAAACTGCAGACCACTCTCTCCTTGACTAATGTTACCGTTCACGAACCTACTATCAGAAAATGGATGATCAAGAAAACTGTTCATGGAAAACTGACAAGGAGAAAACCACAGCCTTATAGAACACACTGCTGTCTGAAGTTTGCTAAAAAACACATGGATGATCCACAAGGCTTCTGGAACAATGTTCTCTGAACGGATGAGTCAAAGGTAAACCTCCCTGGCCCCAATAAGAAATGTTGTTTGGCAAAACCCCAACACTGCTTTTAGCATAGGAGCATGATGGCTTGGGGCTGCTTTGCTGCCTCAGGACCTGGACACCTCCCATCATTGATACAACCAGAAGTTCTGCTTTGTATCAGAAGAATCTAAAGGAGAATGTCAAGCCAAGAATGTCTGTCCAAGTGGACTTACAAAAGAATGACTGCAGAATCAGAAATGTTGTAGTTTTACAGTGGCCTAGTCTGGCTAGGTCTAAATCCCATGGAAATGTTGTGGCAAAACCAGTAGCAATTTACAGTATAATGAAACCAATTAATTAACACTACCCTAAAATGTGTTTTCCCAGAATTAATAAAATCTATCACAAATCCTACAATTAAAAAACATATCTAATATTGGATTTCATATAACCTACAGATATTAATTGCAAAACTTAATTGTGTAACACTGGATCAGTAATATTCCTTTTCAGCTTTGTTCTGCAGCACAAACACCATTTATCAATTACAAATGCTGTCTGTAATAATCATAAAGGAGTATTTTAAGTTCTAATTGCCAGAACCAAGATACTGCAGCATGAAAAATGTGGTAGTTTACTGTAGCTATTTTTTTTTAAATAGAAGCCTTACCTCCTTAAGATTACTATTGGGATATTACAGCTGTATCAGTTCCAATTCTAAGGAGAGGTATGAGCTTCCTAGTCCTCATGACCTCAGTTTTGTTTTTCATTCCAGCTGAGCTCAGTTATTTAACTATTTGACACTAGGGTCAGAGGAGCAGGATAAGAAAGTGTTAGCTTGGAGTAAGTTATATTGTAATCGCCCTCTGACTGGGTAGAGAAACCACAACACATGATAATGTATAGTGTAGTTTTATTTTGTAACAATATACAGATGATCCCAGTTAGAAGTATCCTTGCCATATGTCTCTCTGCTCTTATGCCATTACAGTTTTGTGACCAGGTTGTAAAAATTCCCCCTAAACTAAGCACTGAGATTAAAATTCTTGCAAATTGAAACATCCATCCATTTTCACTGATAATGTATACTTTCTCCATCAAAAGGTTAACTGTACACAGATCTATACACAGACATGTACAGTATCTGTTATCACATAAAAATATTAAAAGGGAGACCTAACATCAAGTTTTTGCATATGTTATGATATTTTTATCCAGACATAGTGCACAGTGCTGTAATGCAATAAAGCAACAATAAAGTCCATCAAATTAAATATATGTACTGCATTCTTATTTTGTATTACAGTGCGATGTTACAAAATGTATATACAGATCCAGCCATTCAAAATGTGACAGGTACATAGTGCTAAAACGCGGTGGGCATGGCACAAAATACCACGTTAATTGAAATATGATAATAGCACCTTGTAAAAGCACCAGGTAGAGCTAATAAAGCTTAATGTTTTTGAATCCTGGTCACTGCTGAGGGACAATCTTTTTCCAATTAAGAATTTAAGTTGTATAGTCTTTAGACTTTTTATATAAAGTTCTTTTTATATAAATGCAAGATTGTTCAGTTGGATAAAAGTACACAACCTTCTGTCATTATTATTTTAATTATACATAAATATTTTATGGATTAAAGTCTTTAATTGTTAACTTATATGGGTTCTGGTTTTAACGCGCTTGTTCTAACATTATTAAGATTATATTCTGTACTTTATAAAAAGTTATAACATTTTATCCTTTTCTAAGAATACATAATAAGAACACCACTTGCTGTTATTGTAAAAAGATAAATGTTGTAGTGATTTAACATCACTTGATAGTTATATTAATATGGAATCATGTAACTAAGCAGCTAAAGTATCACAAGTGGATGTTTTGGAAACATTATGACATTCATTTCTTTTAACACAAAAAGCTTATATTGTTCTTGTAGTAGTAATGAGTCAAATGTTAACAAAGAAAGTGTACTACTGTAATAATTTGAGCTATATGAATATAACTATATCATTATTAATTTCTTTAGATACGTGATTCCATATGATATTCCCTATTAATCAAATTCTAAAAAGTATGTGTTTTTTTACTGCGGTAACAAGCACAAATATTCATAAAAAAGGTTACAACATTATAACTTTTTATGAAGTAAATAAACTTAATATAGTCAGAGGGAGCACGTAAAAACTTTTCCAAAATAACCACAGTATGTAACTAAATGAAAGACTTTGATGCTTAAAATGTTTATGAAGAAAGTGGAATACTGGTGTGTATTTTTTATTTAAACTACCAATACCAGCCATATGCAGTTTACATAATATGTTTATGTTCCTTAATTAATATAATTTATGACCTTGAGACGCATTATGCTTCTCTTGTTTTTATGTTCAGCTACTAAAATTTCCCTTTAGTTGTAAAATTCCTTATTAATATTCAATACTAAGCATATTTAAACATGGACAGTAAAGAGATCACATTAAGCCATCGTTTCACTAACAACCAATGCACCATGAGTGCCGACTGTCGGTCATTTTGGCCAGCCAATCACTTACTGCGGTATAACGTGCTGAACTGTAGATAATTTCACGCCGTACAGGGTTTTACAGTGCATTTTGAATGGTTGCATCTGTATATGCATAAATGCATATATACAACTTCTGTTATCCATCTTGTTATTCTTTGCAACATGTAATGAATGTAGTGATCTTTGCTCATTTTGTCCCTTTGATCATTTATTTTTAAACAACATATTGATAAACCTTTTTTAAGTTTATTCTAAGCAGTAACATTTTCAAATAAATAAAACTGAAAATAAAACTCAAAGCAGCAGACCACTGAAATGAAAATGTTTCTTTAGACTATGCAGAGGCCCTTGTACTATCACTGCACTAAATTAACTTTTAGAGGAAATCTTATCTTATTTGGCTGAATGAATATCTTTTCATATTGCACACATTAAGATTGTACACGTCTACAAAGTTTACAAAGAATGCACAGCAAAATTTTATGTTCCTCAAAAAGTCGATAAAAAGAAAAGAGTTTTGCATTAAAAATGAATGATCATTTGCAAGACAGAAGCTGCCCATCTCACCTTGTCTTACTGTATATTCTAGTGAATAGGCATTGAAATGCTTTATCAAGGATGCCAACTAAATTCAAGGCTGTACATAAACAAAACAAGTTCCATCTATGCTGGATGAGCTGTCAGAATCTTAAAATGCAAGGAAAAGGCAACAACTATGGTTTCTATGTGATGCACAAATATTCCCTAGTTACGATCCTCTGTATGGATCATTTCTAATTTGTTTTCAGGCTAGATTTAGAAATCTTCTTAATGGTATATTACTTTTATGAGTAAAACATGCATGTACTTTGAAAATAAGAATTCTTAAAGAGCATTAATTGGTTTTGAATTTGGATACTTAGAAACTAGATATTTCTTTTCAAAATATGAGTATCTAATCAATTTAAAATATAATTTAAAATCATTCAGGAATCATTTGCTGCAAAAAGTGTAACTGCTTACAATATCAAAAAGTGTTATTCTGTGAACAAAGCTTTCCATAGTCTTAAAAGGTAACCTACACTGGGTTGGTTAAAAAAGGGACCTTGAAAAAGATACAGAGCTTAGCATCATCAGCATATAAATTAAACCATGCACCAGGTCCATGCAATACATAACTCAGAGATGGCCCTGTTTATATAGTGAGAAATGAAGGGTGCCATGGTAGGGCAAAAGGTTAGGCCTTTGGGGCCTCCCAATGTCATTACCAAAGATAAACGGTAATAGTAAATTCCTAATGGCAGTTTTAGATGTGAGTGAAAGGTACCCAGAGAAGAAACTTGGGAGTTCAGAAGAGCTAAGGACCTAAACATGCCGGGAATGCATAACAGATTATCATTCAGATGGAGTGCACAGGAGGTGAACTAAAAAAAATATAGATATAATCCACATTTACATTTGACAAAAATATAGATTAGTTCAAAGAGCAAAAGTCAATCTTTTACATCTGACAAACAAACCTTAATGTATTTCTTGGATCAGATACGCAAATTCCGAATCTCAGGCATAGTTTTCGAAAAACAATAAAACAATAAAAACTAGAACCATATTGTAGATCCAATATCCAATAAAGTAATATTGTATTGCGGACAAATACAGAAATTCACTTACTTTATTGAGGTTGCTAGCTGTAATTATCCAGACACATTGAGAATTGCTTTCATACTGGATTGGAAAATTAGGTGATGTAAATGTACCAGCAGGTCCTTGAAGATTTGATCCACATGTTTTTACTAAAAGAAAACAAAAATATAAATACTGTAAATGTTATTCAATTGCTAGACATTTCAAAGGTTAATTATTCACATACCAATCCATCCATACCATACAAATTTGTATATTTTATGTATCCATCAGATGTGTACAATGAATTGCAGGGAAGCATTGAAATGGCCAAAATATGTGGAAAGAGAGCATTGAAAAAGAAATACAGTAACTTTAATGGGATCTGTAAATGCATATAATTTATTCAACACCAAAGTTATGCTGTTCCCATTCTTTCTGCTACAGTATATAAATTCTCTAGATCAGTGATTAATTTGTTAATAAAGATTAAGCTTGAGCAAGCTTAAATAATTTACAATAGGATGCTTTATTTTGTGATACAGGAAAATACCTGTTTAAACCAAATTGGAACTATATTGCCCATATGTTTGTCTTTTAAAGGATGACAATTACTGCAGCTTTCTATCCGTAAATACAATTCCCAAATTAATCTTATTTATTGACTATTTAAATAGCAGATCCTCATGCTTAGAAAAATTGATTTATCTATTTATGTAACACAAAATCTTGTTTTTCATCTTCCATTTCATTGAAAAATTGCCCTTTGAAAGCGTATGCTCCTTACTGTGTACTCTACCCTGAAGCAACGTCTGGCAATATTTAAATAATATAAGATTACTGCAAATGACCTTAGACAATCTGAGCTGATGTTAATCAAAGATTGAAGATGTCAATGACTAACAGTCAAAAATAATCCTTAGATGCATCACTAAATGTCATCCAGACAAGTTAATTTGAGGCAAGACGGTACTCTAATCAATGGGGTCTGGTTTTTCATCTTAATGGACAAATACACAAGATCACGGCCTGGGATCACAGAGGTAGACAATTATGCATATTCCAAATGGAATGTTTGTTGTTCTGCTGGGTTTTCTAAAATGATAAACAGTTCTTTTAAAATCACATAAAAGAAAATATCAGTAAATGATGAAGGAAGAACCTGGAGCTCTAGGATGACATTTGCAATCAAAACAAATATATTAGAATGAAAAAAAAAATCACAATTTAAAATTGCAAGGGCATATGAGAGTGTACTTCTTACTAATAATTTGTGTGACCTCAATTGTAATTTATGAAAAATCAAACAAATATGGTAACCCTCAAGAAATATATGAAATTCTTTGTCTTTGGACATGTGGATATTGCACTGTTCAGAAAATAATAATACAACAGATTCAAGATTCAAAATTCAAGATATTATTTTTCCACACTGCATCCACCAGAATCACAAAAAAATAAAATAATAAAACCTTTTATAAGTAGTTCACAAATCTTTTGGAAGGAAATATTTTCCCACATATTTTCCCTCAAAACATATTTATTTGGATACAGATTTGACGTCAATTCCTTTACACGTTACCACAAGAAAAAAACAGATATCTTATTGTAGGATATAGTGGGGGGAAAGAGAAGAATGTATAAGTTTGTCATGCAAAACTTCTTAACAGGAAAACAGGCCACAATAAAATTAGTCATCCATGCTGTAGCAAAAGCAATGCTGTTTTAGGGGAGGAAGAAACATAAAAAAGAAAACCATCATTGAGAATGCTCTTTCAAGACAAGTGGTTTAAAAAACAGCATCACAACAAAAACTGAAACCAGTGGGTGGGGGAAATGTGTTGTTTGGTTCTGCTTTTGAAAACTACAAACAAATAAATAAAACAAATAAAAATAGGTTCAAGACAAATCCCGATGTATTGTTCTAAAATAAATATTACACAGTACATATGCATATTTTATATATTATACCTGGGATCTGTAAAAGTTTGTAAAAATAGGTCTAGGCTAATTGTTATCCATCAGCAGCATATAAACAAGCCTTTAAAACCAATAAGGGAACAGTTCATTTAATATGTGTCAATCATTTTAGGAAGGAATAAAATCTAAGAAAAAATAAATTTGACTTCAGCAGCTGCTGATGTCAAATTATATCTTCCTGATTTACTTGATTGTAATGATCTCCTTTGAATCTGCTTATGATAATCAACGTCTCTAAAAATTATAGTTACACTTAAAATCACTGTCACTTTCCATGTTGGGCTGAAGATGTCAGGAAGGAACTGCAGTTCTGGGTTTATTGTTTTTGATCTTGAGTGAATAGAAATGTATTAATGTTAATAAATGTACTTTCTGTGTATTAACATGGACTCTAATTTGCACACACTCTCCCCAGTCAAAAAAACAGTACTGATCAGCTGTTCATAATTTGCAGGAAGAGTACTAACTTTGTAGCAAATGCCATTCACTCCTGCATATGCTTACAGTATAAACCACAGCAGATAAACTGAATTTCAGTAAGTGCTTATTATCCATCATATTGTATTTTTTAGTCCTTTTGATTTAAATCTTAATAAGTAAAACATCAAAACAGTTAAAATAACTGAAGTTATTTAACATCAATCAACATGTTGTCATTATGATCAACAGGGTAATGCAGCTTATTTTAAACCCAGAGTATTAGTGTGGCAAAAATTAGGAGAAATACTACCCTCTGTCATGTAATGTTTGACAAGTACTCTCCACTTAAACGTCAATGTCAAATTATTTAATGCTGATTAAACACTGCCTCAGAAGATTGATTTTGATTAAAGTATGACTTTGTTAACTTGTTAAAGTGAAATGTTCCAATCTAAAGTAAAAAACAGCCAAATAATACTTGCTATAATAATAATCCAGGATTGTACAGACCAAAATGATAATTGACACCAATACCAATGACATAATGTATGCTGTATACAGTATGTAAATTGTAAGTAGACTATGGTACAATAGTGAGAGTTTTAGTCTATCTATTTATATATCCTCTAGTTTGACCTCACAGGTCACTCACAAAACATTATAAGGATGATTCTTGTCTTGTTATAATACCTAGCAGATTGAATATTGTATCTGATCACTATAGTTAATACTCTATTATATTTCATCAGTCTACCATGATTCTGCATTTAAATTTTCATACCTCCAAGCAATAATAATTCCTACAAAAGAACACAATTTAACAGTTAAATAGAAATTTATGATTAACATACCCTTGGGCTGTCCTGAAAATACAGATCTAGGCAATTTTCTGCATGAATTCAAGTGGCATCTTTAGTTAATTAGTTTGTGCAGCCTTTGCTGCAAGAACAAACAACCACTCCTATTACACAGTCTTTTTGATTTAATACAATACAAAAGGTCAGGCTGCTATGGAGAGAAAGAAGCAGAACCTCAGAAGCTAGTTGAGAAACTGACAGCTTTCCAGCTGGGATATATCATACAGTCACTGTCAAAGGTACAGCTAGACTAATCCCATCAATGAAACCATCACACACCATCATCGCTGCAGTACAACAGTGCAAAAAGACATAGAAAATATTTTAAATACATCTTGCCACTTGCTGTTGAGAAAAGGTGGCCAGAAGGCCATCTTTCAGAGATTCAAATGGCTGTCTTTAGAGTCAGCAGGGACCTGTAATTCATTTGGTATAAAGTTTCCAGCAGAGATGCATAAACAGCCTTTGCAAGGCAAATTACATGTTTACATCTTCACAAGAATTATTATGCAGTCCTGCACACTGAGTGTTCAGATCTGTTCCACAGGGTTCAAACGTAGCAAAATGAGCATTCTTTAAAAGGGACCAGTATTTAGTCATTGGACCTAAATGAAAATCTCTCTGTTTTATCTGATACAGATACATTAAATGTTATTAATGTTTTAATTGTTAACTGACAGAAAACAGGAATTAAAAATTATGGGTCATGGTAAATGACCAAGATCCTTATGAAGACATACAGTTACAGCACAGGAATCGAGGTGTTTAAATGGTTAGTATTAAGATTAATGCCAAATAAACATACTGTACCTTAAGAGCTCACTGTGATATCTTGTATTATGAGCTGATTGGTTAACAGTTCTGTGGTGTTCTGACAGTTCAGTTACTTGTCACTAAATATCCATGCTTGTAGGTTTACCCCATAGTCTCTTAAAAATTATTTCTAGAATTATGAGACAAAGAGGTAAGGATAATAACTTTCAGACATTTTCCACAATATCCATTATTTTTTTTCTTATAAAAGGCTTGTTTTACAACCTAAAGTAATAGGACTCTAAGGTAATAATTTATTTACAAGAAATCTACACGAGATTAACCTTTTAAACCTCGGTAAAAGACGAACATTAATAATAGAAAGAAATAACCAAATGAATCCTAATGTACTGTGTTCCATTGGTATATGAAAAAGAAAAATAATCATTGCAAATGTTGTCATGTCATACTTGTTTGCACATCAGTCTTTTTCACTATGATACTGAATTTTCAACAACATGTTGGTGTGACTTAGACTAACCTTTAGGTTAGAGTGTGCTTTTACTAATTAACTCCATAGGTCACACAACATGTAATGCTTTTATTTATGAGCCAGACTAAGGATGACCCATCAGTTTAAGTTTTGGGAAAGAATGGACAGTTATGCTGTCCTTCAAATGCTGACATTTTGCCCACCTTGTCTTAAAGGTTGGTCTTCTACATTTACTTCAACGAATACACACCTAACACTGGAAGATTCATATTGTATGTCCTACAGATCCCTGGTCAGGCTGTAGCTAAATGTGGCCAATTATCCTCAGTTATGCGGCAGATTTCTTCCCGAGAAAGAATGGATAGGAACATCTTTTGGATTATAAACAGGCTGTGGAAAAAATTCTATCTAAACTTTGAAGTTTGAATTGTTTTTTTATTTAGAATTTAGAAAGTTACTAGTAATTTACTGGAAAACATTTATAGAAATGTAAACTATTTCCCCCCCAAAAAATAGAATTAAATCATTTATATTTTCTTAAAGTAATATTACATTATATTTTCCATTTCAAATTGAAAAATAAGACCTGCATATTAAGTTATAACAAATTACAATGCCAATAAACTGTCATGACCTGGGACCTTGGAGATTCTTCTAGAATGCTGCA